TCTCCAACATTATTAAAAACCTGAAAAATAACAAGTCACCTGGACATGATAAAATCACAAATAAAATTATCAAGAACCTCCCACCTAAATCAATTATCTGGCTGACTTACATATACAACGCCCTACTTCGCCTCTCATACTTCCCCCCCACGTGGAAGCATTCCATTATCATAACAATATTGAAACCAGGAAAACCTTCTAACTGCCCTACCTCGTACAGACCAATTAGTCTCCTGCCGGCATTTGGCAAAATGTTTGAAAAAATAATCCTAAAAAGGCTAATGTCAATAGCACAAAAAGAAAATATCCTGCCTGACATTCAGTTCGGATTTCGTTCCAATCATTCAACTACCCATCAACTTCACCGCGTAACTGATTTCATCTCCTCGGCACTTGAAACAAAAAAATACTGTTCGGGAGTTTTTCTAGACGTTGCGAAGGCTTTCGACACCGTTTGGCACCAAGGATTACTGTTCAAACTCAAAAAAATTCTCCCAGCCCCTTACTACCTACTCCTAAAATCTTACCTCGAAAACAGATCGTTCAAAGTCAGAATAAACGCCAAACTGTCAACCCAACATAGCGTTCTAGCAGGCGTTCCTCAAGGCAGTGACATTGCCCCATTTCTCTACATTTTCTACACTGCGGATATACCAGTTAACCAGTTCACTCTCATCGGAACGTACGCAGACGACACAGCCATACTTGCCTCAAATGCTGACCCTGTCATTGCCAGTCAACAAATCCAAACCCACCTAAACACCCTTTTGTCTTGGTTCAACAAATGGGGGATCAAAATCAACGAAACCAAATCATCGCATATTACCTTTTCTCTAAGACCACTAGACTGCCCTCCGATCACCTTGAACAACTCTACTATTCCGCATTGCACCCAAGTCAAATATCTCGGTCTTACACTCGACAGAAGACTTACTTGGGGTCCTCATCTTAAGGACAAGCGAAAAAAGTTAAACAGCAGACTTCACCTACTCAGGCCCTTACTAAGATCCAACATCAACTTCCAAAACAAAATTCTTATATACAAATGTCTCCTCCGTCCCATTTGGACATATGGCATCATACTCTGGGGCCCAGCTAAAAAATCCAATACTCAAACGATTCAAGCTTTTCAATCAATCTGTCTCCGTATCATTGCTAAAGCTCCCTGGTACGTAACGAACAAATTACTCCACGATGAACTCCAAATCAAAACCATCCACGACACAGCCACTAATTTTTACAAAAGGTTTCATGGGAAACTCCATAGGAACCACAACCACCTCATTTCACAACTGGCCTCCAAAATGCTTCCCGACAACCCCACAAGACGTCTCAAACGAAACTGGTGCAGAGATCTTCTTAATCAATAAAACACATTTATACATTATTACATATAAAAATTAATTTCACTGTAAAAGGGTGACTCGACTGCGAGCCTTCCTACACGTCATTCAAAGCCATTGTTTTTGTTTTTAGCTATACTTATCATATTTACTTATTGTATATAATGTACAGATTGTAAATTTTCAATAAACTCCATTTTAAAAAAAAAAAAAAAAAAAAAAAAAATTTTATTGGTTTGACAATGGTTATACTTTTTGATCATAATTGAAAATATTCCTACCATTGTGAATTTTGTAACATAAAAATTGAATGTTTCTTGATGTCTAAAAAAAAATAGGTCTCCCTGTAATTTAAAAATTTTGCTGTGCCCCCTCGGCCACCAAAGTCTGAACACGCCTATGTCCATTGGCTCTATAACTAACAAAATGAGTAATGACACTTCCCATTTCGCCCACTCCATAATATCCTTTTCCGATTTACCTTATCACTTTTATATATGATATACATTTTTTGTTTCTTTTTGTAATTGTTGAGATATAATAATTTATAAATTAAAATCTCATTGATAAAAAACTAAAAAAATAACTAAAAGGAATTATTAAATTTTAAATTTGATATATTTTGCCAAAATACGAACTTTAAATGTTTATAAAAAAAAATGTTGCCAATGTATTTTCAATGTTTTTCAACTGCGCTAATGTAACAATAGGTATATCAGGAGCCTTATTGCATTACATTTTCAATCTTTCTTTACCTAACAAATACATTTTTATTGATATTTATAGAAAAAGTAAATTAAAAAAATTGAAAACTTTGAATGTCCGTAAACAGCTCAAAAAGTCAAAATATTTTCAAGATGTTATGGTGTATAGAAAATGAAAATATTAACATTCAGTAAAATTGTTATGTATCTACAGTTATTCGTTTTTGAATAACAATAAAATAACAAAACCGCTACACGAGAAATCAAGTGAATATCCAATGTTGTAAAAATTTGAACATCAAACACTCATAAAAATTTAATTTGAGTTTCTTGTATTACATTTTCAAATCTTAGATTTAAAAAGAAAATTTTTTTATGAATTTCTAACTCAAAATAATTTGCAAGTTGTTGTCATTTTTACGTATTTTGTCAATATTTGAACTTTAAATGCTTATAAAAAAAACTGTGGCTAAGGATTTTTAATATTTTTCAAGTATCATAGTAACAATAGAAGCAGTAGGAGCAGTAGTAACAGTAGGAGCCTTGTATTACATTTTCAAGCTTTTTTACCCAACAAATAAAATTCATGTTTTTCCTTAATTTTTATGTTGTTTTTCAAGTCGCTTTAAAAAAATATAGAGAATTTTAAATTTTGACCTTCCCAATGCACCTGCATTATTCACTTTCCCATCGAACAATATACTGAAGTTGAAAATCCAAGCATTATCTCGAATACTTATCGTGTACAGTGTTACAAATTAAAAATTAAAAAAAAAAACATACATCATTGTAAAATTAATACATTCATCGTTCCACTCAGAATTTAAAATAATTTCATACTAAAAAATAAATAATATAAAATATTGTAGTATTAAATTCAATATTATTTTCCAATAATAAAGTTTTAATAAAAAAATGAGGGGAAATGTCCGCATCAAAAATATATAGGGAGGAAAATGTCCATTCACCGATCCAAACATCCCGGTCCCGGTGCATTATTTTTCACACCGGTTTAATGATTAATCTAGGGAATTTGGGAGACTGCGACAGCCCACAAATTTGACGAGCCTACAAATTCCATAGATCCAGTGGTAAGTATTACTGTTGCGGAGCCATTATTGTTCATGCATTTATTTTTACACTAAAATCTGTTTTCGAAAAAATCGATCTTGGTTTTTGGTGCAACTCTTAAACAAATGACCGTAGGTATATGAAATTTTGACTGAATGTTTATATTAGCATTTTCTATAAACGATATAACATTTTTAAAATGTTTTGATTTATTTTGAACTGTCTATAATATAGGCACATTTTCATTTTCCATTTATTTTTAGTTTTTTTTCTAAAAATATCAATAAAATTGTATTTGTTGGTTGCGAAAGCTTGAAAATTTAATAGAAGGATCCTACTATATTGTTACAATGGCATTTGAAAAATATTAAAAATCCTTAGTCACAGTTTTTTTTTTTATAAGCATTTAAAGTTCAAAAATTGACAAAATATGGAAAAATCACGAAAATTAGCAAATTATTTTGAGTTAAGAATTCGTAAAAATTTTTCTTTTTAAATCTAAGATTTTAAAATGTAATACAAGATTTCTTATAAGATATAACCTTTATCAAAAAAAATGTCTATGTGAAAGTCAAATTAAATTTTTATGAGCGTTTGAAATTCAAATTTTTACTACATTGGATATTCACTCGATTTCTCATGTAGTGATTTCCTTATTTTGTTGTAATTAAAAAACGAATGACTGTAGATACATGAAAATTTCACTGAATGTTTATATTAGCATTTTCTAGAAATCATACAATTTTGAAAATGTTTTGACTCTTTTTGAGCTGTTTACGGGCATTTACATTTTTCAATTTTTTTTAGTTTTTTTTCTATAAATATCAATAAAGTTATATCTGTTGGGCCAAAAAATGTAAAAATTAAATGCAAGGCTCCTAATATATTTTTACAATAGCAGTTGAAAAATATTAAAAATACATAGGCACAATTTTTTTTTATAAGCATTTAAAGATCGAATTTTGATAACATTTATCAAATTTAAAATTGAATAATTATTTTGTAGTTAAAAATGTATAAAATGTTCAACTTTTATATCTAAGGATTGAAAATTTATAACAAGATTTTACGTAAGTAATTGATTCTTTTCCCAAAAAATCTAAAAAAATACAGAAGGACAATCAATTTTTATAGTCATTTTATGTTCAAATTTGCACGAAATTACATAATAAAAAAAGTTGGGCAAGTGGGTGTCGCTCTGCTGTACAGTAGGTTACAAGTGGGTCACTGTATAATGGATGGTATTACATTTGAATTCAACGATATAATATCATTGTATAAGAAAAACGATTCTGAGCGGAGACGGTATGTGACATAGTGTATGTCAGTCTAGGTATAAGACATATTATATTATACATAACTATGGTACTAAACCAAAATTTGACCTATAATAGGTAGGTAGGTACCTATAATAAATTACAAATTAATCATATCACAAAATCCATTAGGTACTTATAAGCGTTCTATGGTTATACATCAACAACAAACCGTGAAAATATCATAGATATTAGATATATAATAGTACACTCTTAGATCATATACGTATATGATCTAAGAGTACACTTTAGAAGTTTCAAGTACCCACGAATAATATTATACAATCACAACAAAATAACTAAAATAGTTAAAAAATAGGTAGTATTGTTTATCTGTGGTTCATACCAAAAATTATTATTTTTCTATCACGTGGTTGATATCAGTTATCAATTATTGTGCCTTATCAGAAGGCAAGAAATTAGAACTTAGAAGTATATCACGACTGTGGAAACAAGAAAGATTTATTTTTTATAATTTATAAATTATCATTTAAATTTAATTTATTTTTTAACGTTTTGAAAGTATTGAAATATGCCAAGCTCTCATAGTTAAATTGACATTAAAAATGAATAAAACTTATTCATTAAGACGTCTGTGTAACTTACATGAGCATTTAATAAAGCAACACCGTGTCATACGTTATAAATCAAATACTAGCAATGAATTAAATTCATTTGTATTGTATGATAAATTTATATGTGAACGTCGTTCTCAGTCAAAATGCAGCGTCTTGGTGCAGGTTTCTTCGGAAAATTCATGTTCTGATCTACATTCATATTGCTCCAAATTTGGTTCAATAAAAAATATATTTCACTATCAACTGGCTGGTTCAAATCATTTTGTGCTTACTGAATTTGAAGACCAATCATCAGTGAATTCATTGCTTGACCAAAGTACGCACATTAAAGATTCAAATGTAATTGCTGTTAGATCGCCATTTCTTTGGTTTCGTTCAAATGCAAGTAAGAAAAATTCAAAATTATCAGTCATTGACAATAAATTTAACTTTCCATTTCAAGCCAATCAAACAATGATAGAGCCAAATATTAAAGATATTGGACTTAACAAACTTGATTCATTGTCTAATCAGATGTTATTATTATTGAAATGCACTCAGCTGAATGATATTGGTACAAGATTGAGGTTTCTAACAGCAATGCAAATTGAAAATGCACTTAAAGGTATTTTTCCTCTGTCAAAAGTATTACCTTTTGGATCATCAGTAAATAGTTTTGGTAAGATTGGCTCAGACATTGATTTAGTTATAATGGACAGTCAAACCACAGAAAATGAAACTAGTCGATTGATTTATCATGGAAAATGCGTGTCAAATAGTCGGACACAAACACAGCGAAATATTGAAATACTGGGTGACTTGTTGCAGTTATTTTTACCAGGTTGTTCAAGAGTGAAGCGTATTTCTCAAGCAAGGGTACCGATTGTCAAGTATTCACAAGATTTCATTGGTGTTGAATGTGATCTAGCGGTCTCTAATGAAACAGCTGTAAATATGTCTGAACTTTTGTACATTTTTGGTAATTTTGACTACAGGGTTAGGCCTTTAGTTTTTACTGTAAAAATGTGGGCCAAAGAGATCAATTTAACAAATGATACACCAGGAAGATGGATAACCAATTTTTCATTAACACTTTTAGTGTTATTTTACTTGCAACAAGAAAAAATCATTCCTGATATTCAGACACTAGTGAAGCAAGCTAGAAACAATGATGTCCGAATCACAAATGAAGGTATCAACTGCACGTTTCTTAGAGATGCATCAAAACTTCATAGAGTAGTTGAAAATAAAAAAACCTTAGACCAACTTTTATTAGGTTTTTTTGAATATTTTGCATCATTTGATTTTAATACAAATGCGATATCATTAAATTTTGGAAAAACAATCAATAAGCCTGAATATAGTGCCTTATACATTGTCAATCCGTTAGAAGTCCATTTTAATGTTAGTAAAAATATTAGTTCAGAAGAAGTGGAGAGATTCAGAATAGAACTAAGAAATGCTGCATGGACAATAGATTCTTCTTTAATGAATACAAACTCATTCAACTTATTAGATCTATTCAAAGGTTTTGACGTTAACAAAAAAAGCCAAATAGTTTTTGATATCCAGCATCAAATAAAAAATTCAAACAGATTAGTTACTGTCAAAGATTTATTTGATGACGATTCTCAAACTCAAGAAGACACAAGACTGAATAAACAGTTAAAACCTAGTGAAAGAGAAATTTGATATTGTAAATAAAATAAGAATATAATATTATTATAAAATATAATATGTGTCTGTTTTTTTCTTTAGTTTTTATTGCATAATATCATGTTGAAAATAAACTCAATACAATGTTCTAAGATATAAAACACAATAAGTGTTTTATAGACCATGTTCTAATAATAATTACATTAATTCCTCTAAATTAATTTTTCGTGATCACATACATATTAATGAAGAGATATAATATATCAAAATATTATTATTTATTTGTAATAACTAGCCCAGACTAACTTTTAATTTTGTATCAGAGTATATCAGCTTATCTTATCTAAGAATTAAAACAAGACTAAAATAAAATCAATTTGTTATATGACCTGCTAAAATATTACCAAGAAATTTAAAATCAGAAGTGAGAAATCAACAAAACAACTATCACTAATTAATTATTAACAATGTTCAATACATTTATTCAGTTTATTTCAATATTTGTTATCGGCCATAAAATTCTATAAATAATTGTAATAACAGTTACCCATTTACCCCCGTCACTAATAGAATTGAATATAAATCAATTTTAAAAATTGTATAGTTTTATTTGATTTAGATTAAATAAAATTCATTTTTTGATACCGGGAATAAAATTAAATACAGCGAAGCTCTACTTGAGAAGGTTTGTGGTGGAAATAGAGTATTATTTACTTATAGGAAAGTATATCATTCCACAGTTTTAAGATTTCTAACATTTGACTACAGTACTGCCAATGTATAGTTTAATTATTTCATTCGATTATATTTTCTAATAATGTTTATAAAATCATTTCTTATTATTATTTAGATATCATGTAAAATAAAATTAAGGCCAAACACTCATGACTGGAGCATATTGAGCGGCCCAACGAGACTTTCTCGGTGCTCGTAAGCCCAATCAGACCCGATTACAATGCAAGTAAAACCATTTAAAAATAAAATAAAATAATACAACAAATTAAAGTTTCATTCAGTTTATTTTAATTTAATCTTTAAATTCTGGATACACCGAAATAGTAAACAATATATTTTTTAAGGCCAGCGTAAAAATGTAATATTATTTACTATTAAGTATTAATTATGAATACAAGTGTAAAGACCAATTGTCATTTGCATTACCATTAATAAAACAGAATATAAATTAATTTAACATTTTTTAAGTATAATACCAACATAGTCAAATTGTTATTATTTCATAACATCATTATTTGTTGGAAAATAATTACCAAGAGAGTGACACAGATGTTATAGGTATTTTTTCAATAATAATAATTAATAATAATAATAATAATAAAAACGGACAGTCTTTGAACTTATTGGTACAAATGTTACAAATTACCATTATATTATCTAGATGGCAATTTATATAATACATTTTATTGCCAAATTTATTAAATAATGTATGACCATATTTTGTTTTAAACGTTGTAAAATGTAAACGCATCAATATAATAGTTTCCGATTCGGTCGCATACAAATAAAATGATTTAAAATATATATACATAAAATTTTTGTCTAAAATTGATAAAATTAATTGAACATATTATTCATTAGAATTAAGTTACATTTCTTGAATAATTACTAAAAAGATAAAAATGTATAAGATACCTTAGAAGTATCTATAGAACACTAAACATAATATTGAGAGCTAGAACATAAATATTTAAAAAAAAATCCTAATCATCAAAAAGTTATTTCTCGATATTAAAATTAAAATGCACACTATTAAGCAAAAAAAAATATAAATTTAAGTTTTTACGTTATTGTTAAATTAAATAAAAATGTGATAATAGAAAATGTTACTCGAAACTTCCCTAATCACGCACACAATGTAGTACTAAATATTAATTATTGATTGGAAGACATCAAGGTAAAAATTCAAAAACAACCCAATCAATAATATATATATACACATATAAATGCACATATATATATTATATATTATTTAAATATATATATATTTATATATGTAAATATATATGTATACATATTTAACAGGATATCAAAGTGGAATATATTAATTATTATACATGTAATCTATATTATATTTATATATGGAGAAGATAATTATACTTAAATTGTGATTGATAAGATTTTTAACTAAATATTAATTTTTATCTAAAATTTGTGTTTCAAATTTCAATTTAAGTCTATATGAATGTAAGAGGTAGATTCGTTTCGATAAAAAATTATTATTTTCTTTATCATTAATTTATTTATTGTCTAGTTAGCGTTATTAATGCTGCGTACTTTTTTGGCTACAGCCCTGACACGTTTTGCAGCTTTGGGAATAGCCAATTCTAATTTACGTTTAACACCAGTACTAGTGGATGGTTCCTGCTCATCAGAACTCTTTACTTCCTCAAATACTACTGGATCACTAGGTTCCAAAGAATCCTCATTAGTATTTTCTGGAATTTGGTCTCCTTGACTATGCAATCTAGTGCGTACAGCATTGGTAGTAGAATTTAAAGCAGGTGGTCCCATAACTAAAGATAGATCACTTGCAGTAGTACTGCAGGATGAGCAAACTGAAAGCGTAGAAGATGAAGATGCTGATTGTAGATATTGAATTTCTGTCTTGCACTTATTGAGTTCCTATAAAAGTAATATAAGTATAGAATAATTTTTTTAAATTATAAAACAGGTGTTAAAATATCAAGTTGTACTATTTATTTCTATGATACATTATATAAGCAATGGTCGGAAAAATAATTAAGGAATATGATGTCCGAAGAGCTTTGGCAATACTTGTTAGAACAGCAAAGATGTGAGTACAAGACTTAAGACTTTAAATTAAATTCAACTTGGAAATATCATAAAAATAATTTATATTGATTACAGGTTTAAACAAGAAAATGCTTTCAATTTGGCATTGCAAAAATAATTGATAAAAAGAGAAATGTAGTAAGGAATAATAATTAATATTATTACCTACAGCATGAATAGAATAAAATTCAAAAATTAATATTTCTGCAGGGAATCTTCACAAATTTAAAGAGCAGAATGTTTAATTAATTACTCTTGATGAGAAAAAAACAAGAGATGAAACAAAATTAAATAGGAAAAAAGTAAATTGATCCTTTAGCCAAAACTATTCAATTTAAAATCAAGTATAGAAGGTATACTATTTGGGTGTATCATATTTTAATACAATATATAAATCATAACATATACCATATATTGAATCCATGGCCATATATTTATAGCCATATTATCATATGGTTGCCTAATTGTGACCCATGATTCCAAAATAAATAAATGTTGATTGAATGAATTGCTACTTAACAACTGGAACTTCAAGCACATGGATGTAATAATGAATATTATACTCAAATCAACTACTTGACGGATATTTACTGACCAGATATAATACGCCATAATTGCGTTTATAGAACTTCCAAGCACTAGTGCTTGAAATTTCCAACTGTTTAGTAGCGTTCAAGGTTATGGATAGCTAAATATATAATACTAAGATAGTGTGGTTCATATGAGTCATTTTATTTTGATTTGTTGGGGAACCCCGTAATGAGTCTAAAGGAGTAGAGAAGAGATAGCTAAGGATACTGGAAGCAGTATGGACTCACTCATGTAGGTAAAAAAAAAAAAAAAAATGAAACTTTATAGAACATAATTTTAAATACTAACTTGTAATAAAGTGCTGAATTTTCGATTTGTCTCTTCATTCTTCTTATCATATTCATCCATCCTACTTGAATATTCTACCAATGTTTTATGTTGTTCAGCCATTTGTGATTTGCATTGTTTTAACTCCCGTTGCGCATTGCCAGATTGAGTTGATGTTCTATAAAATAGATGTATTAATATTTTAATAGACTTTTAAAAAAAAAATTTTAATTTAGTAAACATTGACAATTTCACTATTTGATTTTTATATTGCAAACTGTTCCCTAAATTTGCCTATTCTTTTAATTTTTCTTATAATATTTAGGAAGAAGTACCAAACTAACCATAGTAGAAAAAATATACAGTGAAAACTCTTTATAACGAATCCGAAGGGACCAAGAGATTTCTTTCGTTATAGAGAGTTTTTGTAATAGAGAGAGTTTAAAAAAAACAACATTTTAATTATTTATGTATAAAGGTATGTAATATTATATATCAAACACATTATTATTTTTACATTATATTATAAATATTTACGTATTATATTAAATTACATATTATTATTATTATTATTATTATTATTATTAATATACATCATGCATATTAAATATAATTTAATTTTTATACTATATTTATACTTTATTTAAAATAGTCTGTCATCTTAGTTTGGACTTTTTTATTTTGCCAATACTGTTTTTGTGTTTTAATAAATGTATTTTTAAATATTGTTTCGTTGTTGAGAGTGGCTAATCCGTTATAGAGAATGAATTGACTAATGGGTTATATAGCAGACCAACCATTATTATGTAATGTTTACGTTATATAGAGTTTTTCGTTGTAAAGAGTTTCGTTATAAAGAGTTTTCACTGTATTATCTATGATTACAATATAAAAGTAGGTAATAGCAGTGAAATAGTTAATAAATAAAAATAAATGGTTACTTATGTCAATAATAATTTCAAATTGTACTCACTTGCGCAATTGTTTCCGTAAGTCTAAGAAATCCCTTTCCAAATGACAACTTTGAGACCTTATAAAAAATAAATAGCAAATTAATGAGATAATGTAGATTTACATTTAATAAAAATATTAAATCTGATATAAATGATAACTATGTATGTAAAATATAAATATATCAAATGCCTAATGTACTCAAATTAAAAATTTTTAAATTTACCCATAGATTGCAAAATTACAGGAGATGCATATTATGGTAGTAAAAAATGTTAAGGGGCCTGGTCGCGACCTGTTTTTTTGCTCGAAAACATGCCTTACAGGAAAAACTCTCACGCCTTATAGATTGGTCCGATTTCCGTAATTTTTTTTTTGTTAAATAGAGGAAGACGTATTGCAGGGCAAATTGGACTTGGATTTTCAAAATTATTTTTCGAAATCTTATATTACAAGTTTGAATTTAATCCATTTTTACAACTTTTTAGTTTTTGTATTATTATTTATTTTTAGTAACGTAATCAAAAATGAAAGTCCAATGCGCCCTGTAAAAAATATTCTTCTATATAACAAAAAAAAATTACGGAAATCGGACCAATCTACGAGGTGTGAGAGTTTTTCCTGTAAACTGTGTTTTGACCGATATAATACACCCTATCAACCCCCCCTCCCCCTAAATAGGTATTGGGTAGTAGATTAGTGGAAAAGTCTTATAATTGAGGTGGCAACTAAAATATAAAATTTAATTTTCAAATTTTATAGAATTGCGGAAAATTTGAAAAATCGCGACCAGGCCCTTTAACAATATAGGTATAACTAAAAATGTTGAATAGCTAAATAGCTTCAAAATATTATGAAATGTATAAATTATTATATTGAATGGAAAATGTTTAAATAAATATTAGAGAAGAATTTCATGTATCTTACTCAGCTCGTTAACATTCATTTAATTTTAATTTTTAAGGACGAAACAAATGGATTAGTAGTAATAGATAGTTATAAAGAAATTTGTATTTTGACTTACGTCTTTATTCCTTGTTTAATTTTACCGACACTTTTTCGTAACATTGAACCACATTGAGGACTTTCGGATGAAGCTCGTTTGCCTTCTAAACTTGAAACCGAACCTTCACGTATCATTAAACTACGTTTTCTCAAACACATACTGGTAATAGTTCTAGTATTGGGTGGACCTAAAATGTTTATATTATTGTTATTTAGATAAAATATATTTATAATGAAACATTTTGATTCTTATAAACTCAATGTGTTACTATACAGTGAAGTTTTATAAATACCTAAAGGTGAAGGAAATTCATGATAATCATTGGCAAAAAGTCGAATTTCTGGAAGAGTTGGTTCAATTTTTTCCCTAAAATATTCCATGGCCATTGTGGACAAGTCAAATAGTTCATCTGTCACTTTATATGGCCTTGCCAACTTTGAAGTAACTTTAATATAATGTAGTATTTTGTACACTTCATCTAAAATCTGAAATAAAAAATAAACAAATTTAATAAATACCTAAATGTATCAATAATTAGTTATTAACTACCTCTCCGGCAAAAAAACATATATGTTTTCTTTCAATGTGTTTACCAAATGCCATACGCAATAATAATAATCTCATGTGAAGTGTTTCAACAATATCTGATTCACATGCTAGTGGATGTTGTCTCCTAGCAGATTCCCGTCTAGGCATTTTGGTTTTAATAATTTGAAAGCGATTTAACATTTGGTTTTGCAGACGTTGAAAAGTAGAATTTAACATAGTACTACACACTACATTGAAATGCCGGGAAATCTGAAAAAATAAACAATTTAATTAAAAACAGAAATATTTAAAGTCATATTTATTTAACTTACCGATCTTAGTTGGGATATGTGTTTGAAATTGGTATATGATAAGATTTTTTCTAGGATTTCATATGGAAGGTCTAGCAAATTAATATGGCTAGAACTACTTTGGCCTAAATTAACTACACTGAAATTTTTCTCAGGTTTTGGTATAACAACCACTTTGGTTGAAGAGCCTGAACTACTACTACTTTGTTGTCTAGTAGATACCATTTTATATAATTTTGATATTGAAAATATTGGACAATTTAAGATGTATGAGTAGAACAGTTGGATCTAAAACACATAAATGAAAAAAAAGCAATTAATTGATTTAATATAGCAAAATCAGCGTTAATAAGATTAGCAAATTTCATGTTTTACTTAAGTTATGAAATACTTATTTCACTGAACTTAACCTCCATTAAAGTTTTCATTAAGTTACAAAACACACTTAAATGAGAAGTTGGCATAAGGTTTTTAATAGGTAGAATATAATTAATTGTTTAATTTTTAGATCTAAGGAAATGATTTAAATTGTCAACATTTAATAAAGATGGAAATGCAAGAGCAAATATAACTAATTCTGACTTTTATCAATACTTTTCGTCTTTTCCTTAATTAAATATATGTCCATGTTTTCAAAATGTTAGTAATTTTTTTGTATTAGTTAAATAGAACATATCAATGTTATGTTATGACTGGTGATACAAAAATAATATACAGAGTGATCCACTTACACAAGACACTCATCATTAAAGAAAACGCAAACGTTTTTGAAAATATTTCAATTATAAAATTTTAAGTTGTAACAAAACAACATTTTTGGAAAAAATTACATAATTCACTATTTCTTATCAAAATACTTTTTTAAGATATTACTCTTTAGAATGACAACATAATATATTTTTTAGTTCACATTGTGAAGCAGAATATTATTTGAAGTATTTCAATCTATAAAAATCAAATTTTGGACAAATACTTGGCTCATAAGTTATTTAGTAAGTATTTAAAGTTTAAATGAATACTTCATTCAATTCCTTATTCCACTCCACTCATCAAAACCTTAAATACTTATATTCAAAACTTACTCGTCTAAAATTCAATTTTTATAGATTGAAATACTCCAAAAAATATTCTGCTTTGGAATAAGGAGTTAAAAAAGCATATTATCATTTAAAAAAGAATAACAATAAAAATATCAAAATATTTAAATATAATAGAAAAATAATAATAGTACCCAATAAAAAATAATAGAAAAATTATGTTTTCTGACTAAAAATTATGAAAAAAAAATGTATTTTCTAAAAAGTTTAGTTTGTGAAATAATCAATGTCTTACGTTAAATGGACATTCCAGGATTCTATTCTGCAGATATGGCCATTAACATAAAATTATAAAAAATGTAATTTTTTAAAATATTAAAAATATTGAATAAACAAAAATTATAATTTATTTGTTTTTTATTAATTAATTTTATATTAGATATCTACTATATTGTTCTTAGTTATAAACATTATAAAAATAATAATATAGTTATTTTTACAAAATAGTGTTTTTTAGAATAAATCATACAAAACAAGTACCTACTTATATTAATATAATAAATAAATTATAATTGATTCAAACATTTTTTTTTTTAGATTTTAAGATTTAATTAGTGTTAAGTTAGGTACAAATTTCATATAAAATTTGATTAAAATATAACACAATTATTCCCAATCTATAATCCAGTAGTAATAATTTAAATACTAACCAATCATTAAAAATATTAATCGGTATTGTAAAAAATATTGTTAATTGTTAAATATTTATTTAGGTACCTACAAAAATTGTCAAAACCAGTTTTGTATGCAAAATGTAATGTAAAAAATACCTACTTATAACGGAGTGATAAAAACTAAAATAATTTAATATGCTAAATTACTCTAAGTAGGTAACAATAAAACTGTAATTGGTAATACAACTAAACTAACTATATATTATATATATTAATTTACCATAGCTTGAAATTTAAAAGTTAGTAATAAAAAAGTATTTATGAAATTTGAATTAATAAACTTTAATAAAGTGCTTTCATAGGTAGTGAATTATAAATTTCATGAAAATAAAATAATTTCATAATACCTAATATATAGCTGTTATCAAAAAAAAAAATAGAATATTTTACTTTTAAAGAATTAATTATTACATATCAATACATTTAATTGTGTATGAGAGCAACCCTAAATAATATTGGATTGTATTGATTTGCAATTAGGCGAGATGAAAATTATGAAGTGAGTTAAGAGTTTCACCACCAATAGTATATTATAACATAGGTACCAAATAAATACAGATAAACAATAAATAGACAATAGTTTTAATTCAGTTTGGCAAATGCTACGGGTAAATGAAATATGATCAGAATACGTTATAAATTATAATTAACCATAGACGACGTCTCCCGGACAAATCCAGACTCTAGAGAGACATCTTAATAAAATACATACATGGGCACGAATGGTAGGATCCTTGCGCGAAAAAATTTAAAAAACGTCTCGTTGAATGTCTCAAGCAAGAGTGTAAGAGGAATAATTCGAAGGCTTGTTGGTGGCGCGATAGACCCAAAACCACAGAGTCACAGTCGAGGGGAAGATCACGCAGTCGAACGAGAAGATATCGAAAGAAAAATGCTTTTGTGCAGCTTGGCAAAGGACTAAGGAGACACACACACAAAGAGCGGAAGACGACTCTGCGAGGACGAGACAATGGACCTTTACGGACAAAGGCTCGCGTTATCAGGTTTTTCAGGGGGGAGGGCACTGATGGGGTGATGTACACGGTCAGGGAGGGGTGGTAGTGGCGAGAGGGAAGGAAAAATGCCAATCGTCCGGTAGGGACGGAGGAACACTGTTTCGTCTGCGTGCGTGTACAAAATCTCGCGCCCAAAACACAAACGAGCGGTCAGCGGGAGAACACAACGAAAGTCGAGTAAAAGCTCCGCAGAGTCCAAAAGTACGGCGGCCGCCAGGAAACTTGTGCGGCCAGCGCGTAGGCAGGTACACGACCGGTGTTCGCTTGCCTACAACTACATCGATATTTCACGCGTCCCGCCGGGCGAACTTCGGAAGGCCGGAAAACCGCGGAATGCGTTACGTTACCTTGGAGTTCTTCGGCGCCGCCGGGAAAATAGGAGAACAGACGGCACGTCGGACTCGGAATAACAATATTAAAATATGAACAGCGGGTACACAGCAGCGGTAAGCGAGACGAGCGTTTGAAAATCTTCCGAACGCCGAAACACAAGCCTCGGTAACGACCACCAACTTGGACGGCGGGGCGGTGGAGGCGCAAGGCTGTTGATTGGCACGCAAAAGCAGTCTGTACCAGCACAGGACCGCGATAGAGTTGCCGTACAAATGCGAAATGGCTTCGAAATGCGATCGCGCCAACACTGTGCAGTGTGTAGTTGTGATCGGTGTCCGTACTGGACGGGGAAACGGGATGGGGAGCGCGACGTGTCCTGCACTAAAGTCTGCGTTCGGTCGGCGGGTGGGCCGTTTGGTGGGGCGCCGACGACAAACCCCCGCGACAAGCGCCGCGGGCGAGCGAGCGATCGCCGCCGCAACACAGTGTTGCCAATTTCCTGGCTGGTACGTTAATAAAAATAAAAATAATATTATTATTCTCGTCGTTCCTTTATCCTACGCTTTTACAGTCCACATACCGATAGATCTATATTCTATAATAAACACAGGTTTATCCTATGCCTTCTAAGCCCGATCGCAGGGGCATAGACCTTCAATAAACACGTCAGATCTATAGCTGGTCCATGTCTTCTGGATAGACACGATCGCCAGAGCCACAGCTAGTAGCTACCATATTACACGCGTTCGTCTTAGATAATAATATGTATATTATGTAATAACAATATTATGGTCATTGGTCTTCCACTTTTTGTGGTTCCTGGTCCACAACGACACAGCAGCAGGCAGTTACCACTCCTACCAGTTACCACCACCACCATCATGAATAGGTACGGTACAACGCGCGTCTCCGCCGCCACTGTCAAGGGGTTATTGGCCCTAGGAATTTTTTTTTCTCTCTTCTCATTATGTTCCCAAACCGGAAGCTACGTTACAATAATAATAATAATATAGTGTAAATAATATTATTATACTGTATGTCCCTCGTCGTTGCCACTCGGCACATACGCCGGCACGAAGTAGTAATTACATTTTTTTCCCGCCGTTTTTACGCGTACCTACATCTGAATAATATTATATTATATTCGTATAATATTATAATCGCACATTCACCCAATCACACCCATCTCGTCTGTAATATCCGTATAACATGTTTACATGTCTATACGACGCGGCGTAGGTAATCATCGTACACGCATGTGATAATGATATTATAGTAATACTTATTAAAATTAAGTTAAGAGCTCATAATATCACTGTTATACACCTACGTCATATACTTTAATTTCCATATCATTATTATTAGCTGGTACTTGGTAGAGAGTCGCATATTATTAAATCAAATTAGGTACTATAATAGGTTATATACTGTCATTATAATTTATAATAAAATATAATATAATATGCGTCCGGGGTATGACTCCGTCCTGGATGCGCCACTGCTGAGCTTTAGCTATAAATTATATATCACACATGTTTAAATATATTGAGTACCTATTATACTGTACAGTGTGGATGGCATGGTGTTGGGATATATTTTGTTTAAAGTACTTAACTACCAGCGGCGTAGCCATGGTGGGGAGAGGGAGCATAACCACCCCAATTGGCCATATCAAAATATTGAAACTGCTTAAAAATAAATTATTTTTGTTAATTGTTGTCATTGTTGAGTATTTGTTTTCAATATTTTGGCTTTGGATCCTCCCCCAAATTTTAAAATCCTGGCTACGCCACGGCAATCGATAATGAATAACAGTGCCAAGTAACAGTTGTTGTTTTTAGAATTTGTATTAATTTTAAATTTTAGTTTTTTAGAAATTAAACTATTTACGTGATTATGATACTAATTATTATTATTGTTGTGCATACAATGTATGCGATAATAAATGTTTTTGCGATGGTAAAATATAATAATGGTCAAACGGCAACAACAGGGTTTTTAAAATCAGACAGGGGCAAATGCCCACCTTGCCTCCCCCAAATGACGCCACTGTTTATATAATAAGACCAGAATTCATTTATTTTATCGATCAACATTTAAAAAAT